GTATACTGTCTGAAATTCCAGTAGTTGACATCATAATCTCCATTTTAAATGGAAACGAATATTTGAAATTTGGGCTCAAAATTTCGCGGGCGATTTCTGAAAACTTTTCCAACTGTTCAGGGACCAAAACTTTATTTTATAAACTCACCAATTGGATGTTTATAATACAATTTCTGCGTATCCAACGATGGATATTTCCTCTCTCGAAGTTTGCTCGATTCAAGTTCCGATTCTTGAAAAGTCTTTAAATCCAGATCTGCTTTCTCTGGAAAATACGGAGTGTCCTCTCCAGTGGGATTCACAAATGTTGATTTTCCAAGTAGGACTTTCTTATTCCGATTCTTATAAATTCGCACCGGTCGTTTTGGTTTTTGCGGCTCGATGTGTCTTGTCAGGTGTACTATACGGTCTCGACGAGTCACTTCAGTTGCCGCGTCGTTGGATTTTGAGGGTTTTGTTAGATTGACATCGTGGGAGACGTCTTCGTCGAGTCTGGTGATTTTCAGTTGGACCGGAAACTTTTCCAGAAGCTCGGTGGCTGATGGGAGGGTCTGGAAGATGTTGGTTGGGCAAGGAATGGGCAAGCTAGGGCTGCTTAGGGTAAAGTAGGGTAAGCTAGGGCAAGCACGGGCAAGGAATGGGCAAGATATGGCCAAGTAAAGACAAGCTAGGGCAAGCTAGGGCAATCAAGGAAAAGCGTGGGTAAGCTAGACCAAGCTAGAGCAAGTTTGGGCAAGCTAGGGCAAGCTAGGGTAACCTGGGAAAAGCTGACGCAGCGTTAACTTGTCCGTATCGAGCAGGGGCAAGGAATAGGCAAGCAAGGATAAGCTTGAGCATGTTAGGGCAAGCTAGGGCAAGCAAGGACGAGCCAGCGGAAGTTGAGCCCATACCTTGCCTATACTTACTCATTACTTGCCTATACTTGCCCAAAACTTACTTTGCCTGTACTATGTCCATTTCTGGCCCTAATTTGCCCAGCGATTTGTCTATCATGTCCAAACCCTGCCCATTACTTGCCCATACCTTGCAGAAGCCTCAATTTTCCTACCTTGACCGTAGAATCCATAATTGCTTGAGATTGTTCACTTGCATAGGCGTCCAACTTTTTCATGAAATCCGGATCGTCGGTGAGGTCTGAAAATTGATAGTTTCACTTTTTGTAATGTTCTAGAACCATCTAAATTTTTGAAAATCTCATAAAACTCACCTTTCTCATTGCTTCCCGACTTTCTCACTAGATTATTAAGATCCAAATTTGAGAATTTCAAATTTCCAATTTGAATAAAACTGCTGTCATAGGACACATTTTGGCTGGATGAGCTTCCAGAAGATTCTTTGGAAATCTCGAATTTCGGTGGACCATCTGGAGCCTTGGATTGACTGGTTGGGGGTGGTTTAGACTTTGGTTTCTGGAAAATTCGGGATTTGGGAATTTCGGGAATGATTGAAATCTAAATATCCAAAATCTTCACTCTCTGGAAACCTCAAGAGTTCTCTAGAAAATTTTTTAGAATCTTCAAACAAAACTAATTTTAAAACTCACTTGATTCTTTTTGCTCATTTTACAAGAGCTTGATCCACAACTTTAGTTCCAGAAGTTTTTTGGTTGGAAAAATCTGAAAAATGGTCATAAAAGGCCCAAGAATTTGGATTCTTTGAAGAATCGAAATATGCAAAACCCTGTAAAATCGATAAATGGACCAAAAATGCTTTTCTAAGGATTCTAATAGCTGCCAAAAAGGTGTCCGCTAATCCTCACCCTCACCTCCTATCTCGCTTCCTAGCCGAGATAGTGGGTCTATACGAGAGAGTGGTTAGAGAAACGAGCGATATAGCAGGTATAAGGAGGAGAGTGCTCGGATAATGGCCCACATTGTACGCAATTTGGCGTCTTTGTGTTTGCAGATTCTCGGTGAGGTCAGTTGGGAAGAGGTGCTGTGTATGAGCGTCGTGTGGACGTTGAGATGATTATAAGGCCGTATGGAGAGGTAGAGAGAGAGAGAACGAGAAGAGAGACGCAGACAGTGGAACAGAAGACGGACAAACAGTTTCTTGGAACCGTTTTTCTCCAATTTTTAGGTTTCCGTGTTCTGGAAATGGCAAATTCTAGAGATTTGAACTCAATTTTCTTGGTTTTTCATCTATTTTTTTTGAACTTGGATCCATTTTCCTTTAAGATAGTTTTGAATTGAAATCTATTATTCAATTGAGTTGAAGGATGTTTTTTTCCATTGTTATCCATTTTTTTGGATAATTCTCATAGATCCTGGCCCACTTTTATCAATTCTGATTAACTTTTCTTTTTTAGCCCTTAATCAAAGATTTACCGTAAACACTCTAATAAAACGCCACCCGAATCGTCAACTTTGGGCCCATTTATCTCATTTTCTGTAAGAGATATAAAATATTGGTTAACTAATAAAATGTTGCTGATATCATGGTAAACATTTTATCAGTTGACCACTTTTTGATATCTTTCAAAAGAAATGAGATATATAGGCTCAAAGTGGACGATCCGGGTGTCGTTCTAGAAGTTTTACGGTAATCATAAAATGTGTTTTTTTTCCTAAACCGAAATTTTATGAACCGAAAATTCACCCAAATCCTGCTTCATTGCTTCCCAATTTAGGCACTCATGTGCTCCAAATCTTCCCACGCTCACATTCCACACCTTTTCCCCTGCTCTCGATTCCCAAGCTCCACCCCTGGAACCCGTGGCACGGCTCCCCTATCATGGGATTAGGCATTGGTTAACTAATAAAATGTTGCTGATATCATGGTAAACATTTTATCAGTTGACAACTTTTTGATATCTTTCAAAAGAACCAAGATATATAGGCTCAAATTGGACAGTCCGGGTGGCGTTCTATTAGAGTGCTTACGGTAATTTACTTTTCAGATTTCCCAAGAATTGACGGGTTGAGGGATTTGCTGAGAAAAGCTGAAAAATGGAAGAATCTCAAGAAGCAAATGAGCAAATTGTACAAAAAAATTTGTTGACGATTCCAAAGAATATTTTGATGGAGCAGGCACTGGCGGCGGAATTGTAAGTTTTCTCAAAATTGAAAAAGGTTTGAAAATCTTGAATTTTAATTGGCTGAAAATTGGCTGAAAATTGGCTGAAAATTCAGAAATTTCTGAATTTCCGAATTTCTGAATTTCTGAATTTCTGAATTTCTGAATTTCTGAATTTCTGAATTTCTGAATTTCTGAATTTCTGAATTTCGGAATTTCTGAATTTCTGAATTTCTGAATTTCTGAATTTCTGAATTTCTGAATTTCTGAATTTCTGAATTTCTGAATTTCTGAATTTCTGAATTTCTGAATTTCTGAATTTCTGAATTTCTGAATTTCTGAATTTCTGAATTTCTGAATTTCTGAATTTCTGAATTTCTGAATTTCTGAATTTCTGAATTTCTGAATTTCTGAATTTCTGAATTTCTGAATTTCTGAATTTCTGAATTTCTGAATTTCTGAATTTCTGAATTTCTGAATTTCTGAATTTCTGAATTTCTGAATTTCTGAATTTCTGAATTTCTGAATTTCTGAATTTCTGAATTTCTGAATTTCTGAATTTCTGAATTTCTGAATTTCTGAATTTCTGAATTTCCGAATTTCTGAATTTCTGAATTTCTGAATTTCTGAATTTCTGAATTTCTGAATTTCTGAATTTCTGAATTTCTGAATTTCTGAATTTCTGAATTTCTGAATTTCTGAATTTCTGAATTTCTGAATTTCTGAATTTCTGAATTTCTGAATTTCTGAATTTCTGAATTTCTGAATTTCTGCAT